TGCAGCCAAAAGTGGCAGGCCGTATGGGGCGACATCGGACAATGTGGCATGCACAAACGCCCACCGGGTCAAGTACARGAAGACACGCGGACACATATCCATGCTTTCGGACAGATGGCGCACCGCAGTGGCCAGAAGCTTACAACGTGGCACCCACCCCAACATGGGCTCGGGCACAGTTCTCCTTTGAGCCGAAAGTCGAGTACCACATCGGGCAAAAGGGGCTTCAGACGGAAGCAGCAAAACCGAAAAAAAAAGAAGGGAAAAAAAAAAAAAAGCAAGCAGCTCATCGGCCCCTATACAAGGGCGACAACTCTCTTCAGGTGCGGATGACCGTCGTTCAAACATTTGAGGAGGGGTGGGCAGTCAGAAGGTGGGGGAAACCTTTGGAACAAAGGGCCGAATCTCAACAGATCGTGACGACAAGGCCTGTCTACTGCTTACAACACCCCGTTCCCTGTCTAAGTSGTCTGCAAAGGGTTTGACTCCCCGAGCGAAAGGAATTGCGATGAAGAGACCCCCAGGGCGTCGGTGCTCCGCCGCAGGAGGGACAAGTCCGAACTTATGCTTTCGGGGCCAGACSGGCTGGCCCTATCGACAGCCTTGTGTCATCCGAGGAGGCATACGCCGTCGCTGCAAGCACAGATTCTGACTTAGAGGCGTTCAGTCATAATCCCACGCACGGTAGCTTTGCACCGTTTGCTTTTCAGCCAAGCACAATTTCTAACTGTGCGAACCAACGGTTCCTCTGGTACTGGGTTGGATTACCATTGCGACGGCGGTGCATCTGTAGGGTAAAACTAACTTGTCTCACGACGGTCTAAACCAAGCTCACGTTCCCTGTTGGTGGGTGAACAATCCAACACTTGGTGAATTCTGCTTCACAATGATAGGAAGAGCTGACATCGAAGGATGAAAAAGCAACGTCGCTATGAACGCTTGGCTGCCATAAGCCAGTTATCCCTGTGGTAACTTTTCGAACACCTCTAGCTTCAAGTCCTGAAACACTAAAGGATCGATAGGTCATGCTCTCACAATTTGTATTCGTACTGGAAATCAAAATCAAATGAGSTTTTGCCCTTTTGCTCCACACGAGATTTCTGTTCTCGTTGAGCTCATCTTAGGACACCTACGTTATCTTCTAACTGATGCACCACCCCAGCCAAACTCCCCACCTGACAATGTCTTTCGCTTGGATCGGACAGGCCACGAGGGCCTGCACCTTGGATCGAAAAGCAGGGGCAGAGACCTGGCTCCACCTCATGAAATACGTAAAATAACGTTAAAAGTAGTGGTATTTCACTTGCGACGTAAGGCTCCCACTTATTCTACACCTCTCAAGTCATTTCACAGAGTCGAACTAGACTCAAGCTCAACAGGGTCTTCTTHCCCCGCCGATTCTTCCAAGCCCGTTTCCTTGGCTATGGTTTCACAGGATGGTAGATAGGGACAGTGGGAATCTCGTTAATCCATTCATGCRCGTCACTAATTAGATGACGAGGCATTTGGCTACCTTAAGAGAGTCATAGTTACTCCCGCCGTTTACCCGCGCTTGGTTGAATCTCTTCACTTTGANATTAGATGACGAGGCATTTGGCTACCTTAAGAGAGTCATAGTTACTCCCGCCGTTTACCCGCGCTTGGTTGAATCTCTTCACTTTGACATTCAGAGCACTGGGCAGAAACCACATTGCGTCAACATCCGTTGGGACCATTGCAATGCTTTGTTTTAATTCAACAGTCGGATTCCCCTTGTCCACACCAGTTCTGAGTCGGCAGTTTGATGCTTAGTGAGAGTCCTTCGGCCCCACCCGAAAGGTGGGGACATAAGACATTCTACGCCCGTCGGCACACTGGCACGAGGGCTCCGCCCTCGCCGCGAGAGCAGCTCGGGCAGACCACCGGCAGCCAACGACATCGAGGCGCAGACCCCTAGGCCCAGCCCTCAGAGCCAATCCTTTTCCCAAGGTTACGGATCCATATTGCCGACTTCCCTTACCTACGTTCTTCCTTTTACCAGAGGCTACTCACCTAGGAGACCTGATGCGGTTATGAGTACGTCCGGGCGTGAGAGGTACCCGCAGCTCCAGATTTTCAAGGGCCGTCGGGGGCGCGCTGGACACCACATGACGCGCGGTGCTTTGTCGGGCGCTGCACCCTATCTCCAGTTGATCCGATTCTAGGGTGGGCGAGCCGTCAAGAAGGAAAGAGAACCCTCCCCACGGCCCCTTCCGGCATCTCCAAAGCTGCTTATGTTACCGTCCACCTCCACAAYCCGGTTCGGGAATATTAACCCGACCCCCTTTCGATGTGCGGCGCGCAGTGCGCCCTTGATACAAGGTTTTCACATCACTTAGGGCCGACTGACCCATGTCCAAGCGCTGTTCACATGGAACCCTTCTCCACTTCGGTCTTCAAAGTTCTCATTTGAATATTTGCTACTACCACCAAGATCTGCACCGGGACCGGCTTCACCTAGGCTCACGCTCCAGGCTTTGCAGCAGGCCCCATGCCCTCCTACTCGTCGCGGCGTCAGAATCGCCGCGACGGCCGAGCATAGGTCGCGCGCTTCAGCGCCATCCATTTTCGGGGCTGATTGATTCGGCAGGTGAGTTGTTACACACTCCTTAGCGGATTTCGACTTCCATGACCACCGTCCTGCTGTCTGTATCAATCAACACCCTTTGTGGTGTCTGGGTTAGCGTGCACTTTGGCACCGTAGCTCGACTTTCGGTTCATCCGGCATCACGAGTTCTGCTTACCAAAAATGGCCCACTTGGGGCTTTCATTGATCCTCGGGGTTCGCTTAAGCAACCCCGAATTTAAAGTTTGAGAATAGGTCGCCCCCGAGGCCTCCAGTCATTCGCTTTACCCGATAAAACTGTTCAACAACTCCAGCTATCCTGAGGGAAACTTCGGAGGGAACCAACTACTAGACGGTTCGATTAGTCTTTCGCCCCTATACCCAAGTCCGACGAACGATTTGCACGTCAGTATCGCTGCGAGCCTCCACCAGAGTTTCCTCTGGCCTCGCCCTGCTCAGGCATAGTTCACCATCTTTTGGGTCCCAACGNTTGCACGTCAGTATCGCTGCGAGCCTCCACCAGAGTTTCCTCTGGCCTCGCCCTGCTCAGGCATAGTTCACCATCTTTTGGGTCCCAACGGGCATCCTCACACTCAAACCTCTCACAACAGATCGTGGTTGGCGGACGGTGCACCCGCAGAGGGTTCCCGCCACTCAGGTTTCTTCCGCCCTGTGGGCTAATCACCCACCGGATCGCATGCACATTGAACTCCTCGGTTTGTGTTTCAAGATGAGCAGGATAGAGGAATTTCGCCAGCATCCCGAACACGCAAGAACCCGAACGGGCCCGCCGAAAAAGGCGCGTGCTCAAGGTCCTCGACTGCCGTGATGGCCGCCCATGGGGGGTTTCAATCGCTCCCCACCGCAATGCCGGTCACAGCAGCTCATGCTGGAAGGCACCCCACGTCCAACAAGGGGGGCGACAACACAGTTGCCGTCCACCCCTGCCTAGACGGGAGCGCACAACTTCCCCTCCATCTGCTTCTCGCTCGACAATTTCAAGCACTCTTTAACTCTCTTTTTAAAGTTCTTTTCATCCTTCCCTYGCGGTACTTCTTCGCTATCGGTCCCTCGCACATATTTAGCCTTGGATGGGACTTACCACCCAAATGGGGCTGCATTCCCAAGCAACCCGACTCTTGGACAACACCTCGTTGCGCAGCAGGGTCCGGCGGTCGACGGGGCTGTCACCCTCTTCGGCGTCCCCTTCCAGGGAACCTRCACACGGCCCGCTGCAGAGGTTGCCTCTCAAGTCAACAATTCAGGGAGCAACAGAGCCCCCGGATTTTTAGTCTGGGCTATTCCCGGTTCGCTCGCCGCTACCAAGGGAATCCTCGTTGGTTTCTCTTCCTCCCCTTAGTTATATGCTTAAATTGGGCGGGTGCTCCGCCCAACCTGAGATCAAAACGGAAGGCCCGACATACCTCTACAGCTCAAGGCCGACACCCCCAACCGCAAGCCCACCTCAAGCTGATGGGAGCGCATGGAAGGCGGTGACCAACCAACCGGAGGGACGACCTTACGTGTCGTTTTCAGGAAAACGAAGACCACCACCCACAAACGGGTGCTGGAGGGCAACAACAGGGCGGAACGAAACGCACCACTCTGGGATGCGGCCCCCACAGGCCCGCTCAGAATGCTCTCCAATTTCCTTCCACTTTAGGCTATCGACGCTCTCCAAGTGGGAAGCGAGGGAAGCCACTACCACGGACCCCACCACTCTCCAAAACGGCAGGTGCTGAGGTCGTCAAGAATCCAATGATGCTCAGGCGGGCGTGCCCTCGGCAAAAGCCTTGGGCGCCACGTGCGTTSAAGGTATCGATGGCTCACGGATTTCTGCAATTCACGTTCTGTATCGCATTTCGCTGCGCTCTTCATCGTTGCGAGGGCCAAGATGTTCGTTTGCCGAGAGTTCTACAATATGGTGCCGTTCCGACAGGACCGACCCCTCGACTAGAACCGTTGCTCCCCGGTGCCCTGCTTGGCCCCCCGAACGGGGGGTCGGACGGGCCCGTGGCAGCGGTTGGTGGCGACGGCTTTGCAACTTCTTATTGATGTACCTGCTCTAATTTGTCGTTGTCTGGGTTGATGGCCCCGGAAAGAAGAACCCCGTTGGGAAGGAAGGAAGGACGAAACGGGGAGGGGTCGAGGACCCCGCAACACACCCCGACCCTAGCCTCTACCACGACCCTCGATCCCCAAACAAGCCACAAGCTCCGCACGAAGCCGAGGATGAGGACGCGATGGCAAGGAGGTGTGGACAAAGCTGAGAAGGGAAGGAGCGGGGGTATGCAGGCCGAGGACAGCCGCCATCACCCGACATCCCGCCCCTGACCCTCCCGCAGGGTTGTCCGTGCCCGGACCAACCGCCATCCCGACTAGAAGTCGAGAGTGGGGCTGGGCCGAGGTAACAACCTGCGAAGGCGAGACGGGATGAAGGGGGAGCAACGCCACAAGGCCCTGGACCCTGCCCACCCCCCCCACCCTTGACCTACACCACGCCCCCCTCTGCGCCGAGCCAGCCGCCAGCTGGGCACTAAGCCCAAGATGGTGCTCAAACGGAAGAGAAAAGCGGATGCAGGGAGGATGGGGGCAAAGGGCGGCGGAAGGGCGAGCAAGCCAGTGAGTGTCCCACACCCCGAAGATCGGTCGTTGACGTGTCAATGATCCTTCCGCAGGTTCACCTACGGAAACCTTGTTACGACTTCTCCTTCCTCTAAATGATAAGGTTCAATGAACTTCTCACAGCACCCCCTGCGGCAAGAAAGGCGAAAGGGCCGGTACACGCCCGCAAGAGCGGACCAACCGCCGAGATCACAGCACCCCCTGCGGCAAACCGCCGAGAGCGGTAACAGCGTCGGCTCTGGATCCCAGCC